GGCGACCCCTCAACTCCAGCCAGCCATCGAAAAGCTCGGACTTGCTTCAGTTCAAACGGCGCTTGTGAGCAAAGCGCCATGGCAGCAGCCCGAAACCCCAGCAGGCGAGCCAACGCTGGGGCTCGTTGACACAAATGAGGTTAGCAAGGCCAGGCCGCCTCTAAATTCGGCACCAGCGCTCACCAGCTCTTTCGCGACCAAAGACACATGCCGACCTGACCCATTTGGGGGCCCTTGCAGTGATGCCCAAATACGAAGTGACGGCCCACAGTTGCGAATTACAATGAATTACAGGCTTTCAGGGACACAACTGGGAACAGCTCACCTGGCGCGCTCGCTGCCCTACGACGCGCCAGCCAGTCGAAGACCACGTTGACCAGGCCATCCTTGAAATTTGGCGACAGCTCGCCAGAGCTGAAGGCAAAAAACAACCGACGTGGCCATTTCAGGCAATGATCCGTGATCTTCCTTTGCCTGCTGAGAACCGAACGGTGCGAGGACAATGACGCTGGTAAAAGAACGGCGAGGCTGTCTCAGGACGACGTTGCTTTAAGAGCTTTTGCAGCAGCGACCAATCCAGCCTTTGCACGACTGTGAGAAGTATAATGAACTCACTCGACATCTCTACCCACTGCCTGCGAGTGTCTACAGGTGTGTGAGCTCCAGCTTTTGTTGCTCAGTTGCATTGACTGCCTCAGACTGCCAAATTTTGTCTTTTAATCTACTTAGAGCTCTCTTTTTGGCTCAGCCGTCAGCCTGACTTTCAGCTACCGCGCAGCACACATCACGGTGTCGCACTCGCTCGGGTGGTCGGATTTGTTAAGGATGCCCTCCGTTCAGCGATGCATTGGTGCTGGCCTCGGCCACTTCGGAGGCTGGACTATTTTGCAGGTGCGAACGAATCATCCTTTGGCGTGCGTCATGAGTCTTTTACTCTGACCCGTCAATCTACAGCAGGCTTCAGCTTTCGCAAGACAAGCGCCACTGCGAAAACGGCCTGAAAGGTGGACGACAAACAGCCTGCGTCTGTAATAGACAGGGGCGTGACCGTGCTTCATCAAAGTACTCTGAACCATTTCCCCCGTGCCGTAGGGGTCCTCCCTGTGTAATTGTTGTCGTTCGGACTTTGCTTAAACGCCATTTACCCACTGGGATTATGTGCTTCAACAGGGTACTCTGAAATGCCCATGCGAGGCGTCCCGCTGCGGCAAACACCACTTGATTCAAACACTTGTCTGTCGGAATGCTACTTAACAGTCGGTCTGAATTATTCTATGGGCTGTAAATGTTTTCAATGGTTAATGTTGACATGAGTAGCTGTTCAAACCTGTTTATGAGTGCTTGCGCCTTTCCTGACTCCAACACTTACTCCACGTCATAGCTTGGGGATGTCTCCAGCATATGCCCAAGTGAGCTGTGCACAAACTTGCTCGTCAATGCTCACTGCTCGTGGCCCAAAACATTCTTAAACCCGCGCCGAAGGCTCAAACACCATGCAAGACGAGGCTGCTGTAAGAGTCTACCGGAGCAACTGGCCCCCCAATACTAATATCCCGCACCGCTGCATGCTCAGAACAGTCGGGCATGGCATTTGGTGTTGGAGCCTACGCAGGGGCCTGAGCAAGGCCCTTATATAGTCACGCGCAGGTCCTGTTGCAGCTTTCCTGATAACCTGCTACAGTGAAAGCACACATCTGTGATATCGGCCTCTTGAAACACAATGTGCCCATATTAATGCGACATGCAAGCTCCAACCGAACACTGAGCAACAGAACATTGAAGTGGACATTTTGCAAATGGTTATGCCACTTCCACCAAGCAGTCCCGCCTGCAGCATGATTTGGTCGGTTGGCGGAGACGGCAGGTTGGCAGCGCCAAAGCCTTCGTCAGTGCACACAAGCCACCATCACCAGTGACCGTGAAAACACCGTATGAAGGCGTGATTTTCTGCTGGCTGAGTGTGAAAGCCTTCTCCGACGAGCATGCAGCATCTGTTCGTCTGGCAGCCTCACCAAGCACATAAACCGCGCCTAGGTTTCTCAGCGACTCAAGGAGCTGCCGCATGCTGTCCTCAAAGCGCTGTTGGTATCCGTCCTCTGTGCCTATCGGGCTGAAGGCATGCGGCGCCTGTCTCATGTCTGACAATATCACCGGCTTTGGGCTCATTCATTAGTCAACACCATATGCTGATGGGCTATCAGGATGGATGCAATTGCTGCTAAATTGTTACTTCATCAATGTACTGCGCCGCAAATTTTATCCTTCTCCGGTGAAATATGTTGGAGCATCTTCTTGTGATTGATGTCCCAGTACAGCTCTGAACATGTTGGTCTGCATGTCTAAGACAGAAATAGTATCATGGATTCATATCTCTTCTTACCAAGCTTGCACTTGCACCTCACTCCAAGCCACAAATTTCGAAACTGGCCTCGGGGGCCACATTGCCAAGACATGGAATCGGCAACTGCTTCCCCCACCGCTAGAGCTGGACAAAAACCAACCCGCTGCTGGGCTTTTATCTTGCCCCCTGCACATGAACAAGGCGATTGTATGATGTTTCCAACTTCTTGCTGTCTGCTTCCTACCTTATCTTCCTTTGTTTCCTTGTACATTCTTTGTGCTTTTCTCGACTTTTGTTTGCCGTCTATTGGAATTGCACTGGCCACGGAATTGCAAACGCATTCGAGCTTCCTGCTCGGTTTCGAAACCTGAAGCAATGGCCATTAGGCAAAAAATGTGAAGCATTGGGCCGTCACTCTCTTTGCAGCTCACCCTTTCTATGTGGCCTTTCCCACTCTCCCCACGACCAATGTTGCATCGCTCGGCCTTTCGTGGCCAAGATGTAAGCAGCCGAAGCCTGGAACAAGCATGCTAACGTGCCCCACAAGGTACTTGTACTTGTCAAAGGAAATGGTCGAGTTGAAACGACCACAGGCATGGAATTTGCGGCTCAATGTTTTCAAGTTTTGGATCAGCGGTTTGGACTAGACTACGTACATTGGCTCAAGCCACGATTCATGAGGTCAACACACAGTGAATCCAAAGCACCCGCATTTTGCAATATTGCCAATTCAAAAGCCGTGCAAACTCTGCATCAAGTTTGAACATTTCAATCATTCAATTCAAACACACCATGCCAAATCAACACTTAATTTGATTCGCACATGCACAACACAATAATGATTAGTATGCTTGCAAAGGGGCCTAGGGAAGAATGTGTGTTATCAAGCCTAGGCCACCTAAGGGAATACCTAGGCAAGCAGCAAACCGTTGACTACCTTTTCACACTGCTGTCAGTGATCTTGAAGTCTGTAGCGGGCGGAGCATATACATGCACAGGGTTGGAACCTGAATCCACGCCCCCCTCATTTGAGATTGAACAGCAACGAAAATGTCGGCAGGTTTTGCAACCCGCTTTTATTTGACACTCATCCATTGCGCGTTGAAAATGGACATTACACATCCATCGTGCAAACACACGGCTACTGTCGCTCTCAGAGGTGCTCCTTTATGGTGTTGATTGCATTCACCATCTCCCGCTTGTAGACCAGCCACGCGAACTCCCGGATGTCCATTCCCAGCTGCTCCAGGCGCGGTCGCTCCAGTCGCGACCACTTCAGTCCTCCAGCTGCGGCTCCTGTGTGCGGCAGTGGAGCTGGATGCAGGCTGAGTGTGTCCACGGGCACGGTCTTCAGCGCTTTGCTTTTGGCTGCGCTGAGCAAGCCTTTTTGCATCGCCCTCTGCTCTGTCACAGATCTCTTTGATCTCAGCTTCAAGGCCCTCGGCTCCGGTTGCCCGGAGCGTAGGAAACTCTCCGCCGAACGTGACAAGGTTTCGCATCCCCGGGAGGATGTTAGCCTGGGCGACAAATTGGGCAAGGCTCAACATCTTCCCGTTGTACGAGAAGAGCCATGGAAAGGAGTGCAGGTTGGTATCATAATCTCCACCCTGGCCACCGGTGACGTAGACGGTTCTGACGTAGTGGTGTCCTCGCTTTGCGTAACCAGGCCCAACCCCCAATAGCCTCTGATCATAGCTTCGGGGGAACTCCGGAAGAACGCAGAAACGGAAGATGGACATCTGGTACAGGCTCTCGCGGTTGTGGCCCTGCTCAACCATCCGAAGAGCGAACGTCGCATCCTTGTCGAACCTGTCCACAACGTTGTCGTACCCCAACTTCCTGGCTCTGCTGTCGTAATTCTTCGAGGCTTCGATCTGCTTTGCCTCGAAAGATGTTGCTCCTCGCTTTGCAACATCCGTGTAGCCCTTGAAATCATTGACGAGGAGCTGATCCACAGATTTGCCAACGCGGTGACACACCTCCTCGAGCATTTGCGTTCTCCGCTTTGCAGCTCTGAAAAGTTGAACGTCATTGCTCTCCATTGTGCCATGTCCGCAACGCTGGCACTTCAGCTGCCCTTGCATCATGTCCTCACCGCAAACGCTGCAGTCCGTGTAATGGACGGGCATGGCAAAGGTCTTGAATCTGACGGCTGATGAATCGGCCTCGGGTTGCCCCGGGCGAGTTGCAGCCGTGTCCTCATTTGTCTGCTCCTCTTCAGGGTTCTTGGCCCTCTTTCCCTCCTTGTCGGTCTGGAAGGCCTCATCTGCTGTCACGATGACGGCTCGCCTTGCGGCGAGCGATTCGACAGTTGTTTTCCAATGCTTCCAGGCGAAGGGCATTTCTCCAGAGCACCTCGCCGGTCTGCGCATCCGAGTAATACAAGATGGCATCATTGGGGACAATGTCGGCAGTCAACATGACGTCAGATTCAGAAAGGAAAAACACAACCCCGAGCTCAATCGCGTATTTGAAAGCAACGACGAGCTCGATCGGCATGGAGGCACGAACCCCTGCATTGTAGGCGGAGCTTTCGACGGGGTGAATAGAGAAGTGGCTCTGTGCACGCCCGCTCTCGGTTGCTCCAACTCCGCCTGGAATCACTCCCGTCCTCACGATGTTGTCAGCTGCGGCCTTGCTGGTTCGATGATACAGCTTGACAGGGGCATCAGTCATCGGCGAAAGCTGCAGTCCAGCCTTGCGAGCGTCCTCCGGGAGGAATTTCCCGAAGACGGCCTTCGCAAGGGCGTGCTGGTTTCGGCTGATGTCGCCATCAGCATTGACGCTGCTGGCGTGTCCTTGGGTAGCACGAACCTTGATGACAACCCACTCCTGGTTGTTCTCAGCGGCCGAAGGATGCTTGATCGCGAGGACAGTGAATCTGCATTTCGGGTCACAAGCGAAGATCTTCAACAGCGTCTTGTACCCGATGTTGCTCCGGGTCTTCCTGTTGAACTTGTCGCACAACTGGTGCAGATCGACAAAGTAATCCTCGTCGAAGTCCAATGGCCGTTGATCCTGAAATCGGCCACGCAGCATCCCAGCTAACGTAGTGCATCTGTCCGTCGAGGAAGGCTCTCCCTTCAGGAAGGTCGGCACTTTCAGAATCGTGCCCGGGAGGATCCTTGCCTCGTACTGCTGGCCGCGGAAGGTGACGATGCCGCCGGGCTTGCCTGGCAATGCGCTGCCGGCAGGGGTCGCCCCCCACACATCCGATGCCACCGCTGTTGGCTTTGCTTTCGCCAGTACCTTAGGCGATGCTTTTGCGGTGAACTTGGGTGTTGCCGGAGCGGCCTTGACGCCAAGCGCAGCCTCAGCGGCACTCCCTTGCGGGAGTGCTTCATCGTCATCGAAATCAACTTCTTCTTTGATCTCAACCTCCTCAACCTTCTCGAGCACACGCCCCTTCGCCAGCTTGATGGGGCGCTGGAGACTCTCCCATGACTCATGACTGGAGCGTGAGCTTCACGTTCGCCTCATGCTCAGCCAAAGTGCATGGGTTCAATCCTGCAACAGCATCATGGGAGTACTCAACATACAGCTTCACATTGTTGAAGTCGTCCTTGTGAGCCTCCGCAATTGCAGCGCATCTCATCACATTGAAAAACGACCACAACCACTCCACCGTCGTCTTCCGATTCTCGATGGAGTCCATCATGTGGTAATTGTCGAGCCTGTCCTGTCGTGACACCAAAAAGGTCGACTCCTTCTTGCGAAGGAGCTTGTGCTTGCCGAGTGATTCATCCAACAACTTTTCCATGAACTGGTTGTAGATGGGCGGGAGCATGTGGTACGAACCTTCGGTGTTGGCCAGGATCGTAATGTTTGCAATGCTCCACCAACTCCTGCACTCCTCAAGCACGTCGATCGCCTTGGCGCACTTGTTGAACAGCTCGGGCCAGTGTCCATCTCCGCATCGGTATGGCCACTCCGGCTCGTCGCAGATCCCACCGCTGCCAACGAGCTCGTTCCCGGACCAGTACACCGTCACGTAGAAGTCATGGTCCTTGAACTCAGACCGCTTCTTGAGCTCCTTCATCGCGCTCTTAACGGTCCATGTGAGAAATGTGAGGTCCTTTCCCCAACACACTCTCACCTCGCAGGGCTACAACCAGAGCTGCGGTTGTAGTTCATGTCCTGCGCGAGTCCTCTTGCCTCCGCTAATGAAAGCGAGGCTGGAGTCGCTCACGACGAGGTACACGCTATTTCGGCCACAGGTTGCCCCGGGCGTGATGCGGCCAAGGCCTTTGTCATTGACAGCACACAACGTCCCCATGAGTTCCGGCGCATAGTCAGCCGCCCACATAGCGCAAGAGCTTTGCAGAGTAGCTTGTGCACTGAGGATCTGCTCCATAGTCTTGCGGTCCTCAGGCCTCGTCTCTTGGAACAAAGTGTTCGATGTAAAGCTCGTCATCACTCCTCGCCAGTACTCCAAGTTGCCCTCCGAATACTCCCCGAGGTTGTAAGCAGCCATAGCGGCTACCGGTGAGGGAAGCTTAAGAGCAACAAGTGCACGTTTTGTTGTTCTCTGAGCCGAGCTATCGGTGACAAACTGTTTCATGCTGTCAGCAAACTCAGAAAAACATACATGGATCAGGCCAGTCATTTCATACGTGTAAGATTCTGCACGTTTGAGGGCCGCCCCCCTGGACTGTCCATGCTGATGATCTTTTGTGCACTTATACTGTTGCAGTTTGGCCAACGATTGACAGGAAGAAGCAATAGTCCATGACTTTTGCAACAAATTTCCATCCTTGTCAAGAACACCAAACATGCAACCATCGCAATTGTACTTGACCGTCTCATATTTCATGAGGAAATCATGCACGAAATAGTTCTTCCAATAACTGCAAAGCTTAGGAAGTTCCATGTTGATCACAAGCACAATGTCAAGCTGTCGAAGCATAGTGATAAGTTTGTCCAAACGCTTCAACAGTTTGCGAAACAACGCCTTGTGCTCCTGGATCTTGGCTTGGCCTTCTTGAGTCTGACCATTGATATTGTTCCAGGGGCACCCACCCGTACACGGAAGTGAAGCATGAATCATCACGCAGGGCGGTGTTTTGGACTTGACATTCTTCCTGAAAATTTGCACCTCGTCAAATACCCACTGCAACGTGTCTGCAACCAATGCATTCTGACGTTCAGTTACTCTAAGCACTTTGCAACCAAATGCAGATAATCTTGATTTGTCGCCGAGCTTGGAATCATCCGAACAGCAAAATTCGCATAAGAAGTGATCATATGTTTCATGCGTGGAAACGGCGGAAGCTTGCGCTTCGCTAGTGGGGGCTGGCTTGATTGTAATGTTTCCATCCAACTGCACCCACCGTACTCCAATAAGCTTGCAAGCATGATCCCATTTTGCTTTGCTCGTGAACGGCTTGGTCAAGATGTCCGCAACCTGATACACAGTGTTGACGTTGACGAGATTGAAGAAACCTTTCGTAAATTGTTCTCGAAGCCACGCCAAAGAAGTTCTTTGGGTTCTGTCAGCATGACGAAGCTGTGCAGAA